GCAGTTGCCCATTGCTGTTCCGGCCAATTCTGGCTCCTCGCAATCGTCTCAAATCTGTGGAGGTACGCGTCTAGGTCGTCCTTCCTTTCATCAAACGCTACGAGCAGCTTGCTTGGGTTCAAGCGGAAGCCGTGATCTTCCCGTTCGCTGCTTTCAACTCTAGCTTGGACGGGAGTTTCGCTTCGCTGTTGCAAACGGAGCCGCTCGAGTTCCATCTCGTGTTGCCGTTGCCGTTCCCTTTCAGCCATCTCCGCTTCTCTTTCTTCCTTCAGCTGCCGCTCCCTCGCTTCTCTTTCTTCTCTCGCCCTTTCAGCGGCCAGCCTTTCTCTCTCCAACTCAGCTGCCTTTTCTTCCTTGGCCCTCTCTGCCGCCAACCTCTCTCTCTCCACCTCAGCTTCTTTTTCAGCTTTGGCTCTTTCGACCGCCAACCTCTCTTTTTCCAGCTCGGCTGCTTTTTCTTCTTTGGCTCTCTCTTTTTCTTCTTTTTCCTTCTGGGTGACCCACTTCCGTAGTTCGGCGCCAGAAAGACCCATCTTTTCACCAAGAGCAACTAACTTTTCGAGATCCATCGTGTCTCGCAACTCGCAACTAAAACCTTGCCGCGTGCAAAAAGTATCTGCCTAAATCAGTCTATCGGAACACTCTCCTGCACTCGTTAACGAGAACACTGAACAACACACAAAATCGTTCCGATAGCACTATCAACAACTCGAGGCTCTTTCTCACTACCTTGGACACACTGTGCACCAAAAGGTCCTGTCTCGCGGACGCCAGATTAATTGTCTCACCTGTCCCGTTTATTAGGGAGGCAATCGCCGGGCTAATTCCAAGAGCCGAAGTATCGGCCCCCCGAACCGCACCACGAAAGCGTGGACAATTTTGAAGTGGTCCTTTTTGGTGCGCCAGCGGACGCCGGTCGTGGTCCAAAGAACAAGTCAGAGCCGAGAGTTGATAAACAAACAAATTATATTCTCAATAATGGCAGATCGAAAACAATACATAAGAATGCACACTCCACAATAGTTGCATACAATATGACACCAATCAAACCAATCAATCAACGTACTACACAATACAATCGGCCACACTCAAAACAACGGACACAGACAACGATACGCACTATAATACAGTCGCATGCATTGAACAACCAAGACACTTAAGGACTAAAGAGATAGAAAACCTATTCAGTCCAAAGTCCTTGGAACAAAAGTCCGAATGATACTCTTCCGAGAATCACTCACTCAAAGTCCAGCGTTGTTGTCGTTCCGCAGCTCTCGAAGTTTCTCTTCCAGGAAACCTCGCCGGAGTTTCTCTTCCAGGAAAACTCCCGTCTTCAATAGGCCACTCTCCAAGCTTCAAACTTCTTCGCCGGAAATCCGTCGGCTTCACACACGCAGCTGTTGCCCGCGTCTTCGCTCGATAGCGGTACCCACGCTCTTGCCTGTAGCTCGAGCCGTCCCTACGGACCAAAACTTCGCCGACTCCACGGCGGAATTCCTACGCGCTCTGGCGTTAACTTCCGTCCCCTCCTGCTTTCTCGTCTCGGCTGCTCGATTAAATACGTTCCGCGCCACCTTCCAGAACGTTCTCTCATTTCGTCGGCGCGACGCGCAGCGAAGGCTGGGGAGAGGCGAGACGGTTTGTCTGCCCTCTCCGTCGCATGACCCAATTCGGCGTGGCCCCGCCCCCTTCGTTTTAGAAAGATCGCGGCCTTGCTGGGCCGCCGATGTGGGGTGAGGAGGTTCGTCTGCGAAGCCGTGCTTCTGCGGGGAGAGCGCGCGCCCGGGAGCCTTGGATGTTTGCTTTCTTTTTTTTTCTTTTTTACCTCGCGGCGTTTCTCTCGCCCGTTGTCGCAAGGATTTGGCGGCGCGCTCTTTTTTTTTAGCGCTCGTTCTGTGACAACATGCCACACTCACAGTGCGATCACGGCCGTTTTTCTATAGCTTCACATATGCCAAATTTGGTATTACGCCACATCAACAAATGACGAAGGTATGTGACTGGTGCAAACATGATAATTATGAGATGCGTGTCATGTGACAACATGAATACATGCCAATGTCAAGGCGCCAGTACACTTCGACCCGACATGGCCCGCGTGAGCGTCAGCGTTCGTTTCGTCGCCTTACGCGGGCGTTGACACGCCAGTCGCCGGTACTGCCATGTACTCGCAGGCGCGCACCGCGCTGCGTTACCACGCCACTCTGATTAGTTTTTAGAAAGCCGTAAGCCAACAAAATAAATTTTTTCATCAGGTTTACCTAGTTTTCGACCGATTCCATAGCGTGCGTTAGTGTGATGATGAAGATGCCTTCACTATGACTACTGCCCATTCATCAGAATTGGCCAATAATTGAGGATATGAAATTTAAGGCCTTTCAAATGATTCAAAATTTTAACAAAGGAAGATGGGGCAAACGTAATAGCAGAAAGAGTGCAATAATTCTTTTTTGCCATTCCGACTAGACAGAATAGTACATATCTTGAATTGAAATTGAGACAAACTTGAACGCGTTTAAAATTGATATTGTCGCTAGGTGAAAATAACAGAATACAGGACGACGGTGCGGCCAGAAAAAACGAGGTCTGTATTAACAGAACAAAAGAGCAGCCACTTCGACTTCTTCTTCCTCGAAGGAACCGTGGGTGCTGTCCACGCTCATCACTTCATCGTCCTCTGTCTTCTTGCCCGGCCTTTAGCCGTGACAATATTTAGAATTTGCTTGATTATAATATAAAAGGAATTCTACAAATAGGCATTTAGAGGTGAATTTATTTTAGTTTTATGAACATAACTGCAAACGGCATCAAAGGCGTTACCGCGGCTGTAGCTAAGAACCGAAGCACCAAAGGAGAGTATAATATTAATGTTGAAGGGCAGCCAAATGGTAGAAGATGGAATGACAAGGAGATGTTTTCGTCGCAGTCTGTAATGGTGATATGGCAAAAATTATAGCTCTATTTACTCTATATCTGAACCAAAGGTTCCTAAGGGAGATATCACAAGACCAGCCCTGTGTGAATATAAATTTATAGGGGGGACACGACACTGTAATCTAGTTGGAATCAATTTCAGTTGTCGAGTACGACACCAGTATGTTTTTTTATTGACATTTTAAATGTCTAAGTTAAGTATATGGTGTCATTGATCATATGGCATCAGCCCTGACCTAAAAGATTTGATATCTTATCGCCGTAATAACGACCAGTACCAGAAGAACAGAAAGTATTGGCTCATTTATTCTCGCTCGAGCTAACGTCTCCACCATTTTATTTAGCTCTAGTCCGAAATGTCCAGGTACCCTTTATAACTTTAAGAACTTCAACTGTGAAGGAATCAGAGTAAGGAATGTCTTTAAGGCATCAGATATAGATTAAGCTGTGAGCGACGTGTATACAGACAAAGAGTCTGTAATTATTATAGCAGTATGGCTATACAATCTTAGTTTTGTAGTGCTAGAACAATCGCCAAAAGTACGTGAAGTCTAATAGCATTACTGAAAACGAGCAGACAAGTGAAGGACAGTAAATACCCACTTCTGCCTTTTCATTTATTACAGAAGCATCAGTGCCTATTACATTAGTTGTTCCCACGTCTGCAAGATAATCTTAAATGCGGCTATTTAAAACCCAGTGTGATTGAAATTCAGGCCTATAGTGGAAAATATTATCATATTCTATGACAAAATTTTGATTCGGCTCGTTTGCTGCTGGTAAATCTTGAATTTTCACGTTTTATCTGCCTAGTCGCTTCTGAACAAAAATAATTTTTGGTGTATGAAAACGTGGCAAATGAGCAAGAAAACAGTGTCTGGGTTGTTGATGAATGCACATTCTGATCGTCCCAACGGTTAGCTATGAAATTTTAGATATGTATGAACACCAAGATACGGAATCGACAAAGCGAAGTTGGTAAGTGCACTCCCTGATACAGAACATTGTTCGCAACAAACTTTCCAGGCTCTTCTTCTTCTTCTAAAAACTCGTACTAGGTCCTGCGCTGCTTCATTCAACAGGATATTTTTTTGCGTAGTAGACATCCTGCAAATAAATTTGCCGTAACCGTAAGAGTGCATCAAGCGCGCTCTATGACTACCGCTTCGTCAGCTTACATGGTGACTGCTCTACGTCTGCTGCGTAGGGCTACAATTTCTACCCTTGTTGTGCCATTTCATCAGAAAGTCTAGCGTTATTTATTTACCGCTATCTCCTAAGTACTAATACGTAAAATATTTTCTCAAGGATACATACCAATAGCACGTCATTATTGTTAGACGACCAAGCGATTCAAGCAGAATCATAATATCAGTAAAAGGATGGCATGTTCTGAGTTAGTGGAGCTCCACCGGCTAACCTTTCTTAGCTGGCAACATATCAGAACCATGTTCTTGCGGAGAGTAGATTATATCATTGATAGCAACAATCCTATAATTTCGAAAGCCGCAACTGGGGCTAGTTGTTTAGTAAACACAGTTTGGCTGTAGACAACGGCTGTCTGCGTCTGTTCTTATTAGTCTTTCATCATGGTCGCACTGGCCACAGCAAAAATTGTCCTAATTTTAGAGTCGACACACAATGAAGTATGCATCTAGGCCATACTGTTTCAGTGGCACTGCATTTAGTTATTGTAGCACGAAGTCAAAAACAGTAATTCGGTATTCGGCTGTAACGCTAGCGTTCGCTTAAAGTATTCATAATGTAGAAAACAAAAACGGGCCTTACACTCGAGCAAACATGGTACTTAACGAGTGCGTGTTGGCTGGATACGATCCTGAAATTGCAGGCTGGCAAATTGCATTCACAAATATCTTCTAACGCAAATTTTCGAGAAGCACAGTAATTAGATTTTTTATCTCCTATATACAATACTGTGTACTACGCTATCATCTCGTTCGTCAAAAGTGAATCAAAATCAGTCTGCTCGAAATATTGCCTGTCAGAATATATGCTATCGCATATTTCGTATCTGCGCAAACAGTCCATGCCAGTTTCTTTTTGCAGCATATAAAAGGAATACGTATACGGGCTTGTAGTTAATCCAACATTTGCCTTCGAACGAAGTCTTCGTGATCCACGTTCAGGTGAGTTACGCTGGCTGAATTTTCAACACACGATCTGGCACTGCGATTTGTCGTATTTTCGATTCCAGTTACTCAGTTTCCTTTTCGCTTGTTTTTCACCAATGAGTGCCTTTTTATAATCCGTCACACATGCTTACCTAATTGTACTTTCAGCGAGGGCACTTCACTGCTAGTCGTTGCCACGCTGCTAAAAGGCGTTGTTTAGAGACAATCGCTAAAAAGCGCACTTGCCGGCTGGCGCATCAGAAAAACTTACTATAAGCAATGAGGTGTCTAGCCTCAGTAGGGGACTCTCGAAAACAAACAAGTTGTCTAAAGCCAAGTTCATTGAGTATGAGATTGTGCTTACGTGCGTCCCTGCGGAAGCGCTGCAGCGCGTTCTCTTCACAGTAGGTGTGGAAGCGGTGCCAAGTAGGCAACGCTGCATTTGCGCTTTGCGGTCAAGCTCCGTTTGCTCGCTTTTATTGTAGGTGTGCGATGAGGTCATCCTTTTTCTCACCCGCAGCTCACTCACCGCAGCACCCTCAGCTGCCTCCTCCGCCCTGCCGCTGAGCCGTGTCTGCGCGACGGCAGGCAGAAAACAGCGTCCTTTTTATTTCTTCCTCTTACAATCATCTGTCTCCTACACCCGCTCGCAAAAAACTTCCCTCTCGCTTCATCCACTCCACCACCCGCACCGCTCCACCACATGTTGAGGGCAATCTTTATTTCTGCTCATTTATCTGCGGCGAAACTTGCCCAAAACCCAACCCGCCTGCCATGTTTTTGCGCCTCGAAGAAACGCGTACTCGAGTATAGAATACACCGAGCTTAGCTTCAAACCATTTTTCCGGCACAGGCGTCCATGTCCGTTTTAACCGGGTCAACGCCGTGCGTACCGCTGCTTCTTTCCTGCCACTCAGTGTTTCATTCGGAGACATGGTGCATAATTTTTTAGTTTTAGGCATAGTTCTCACTATAAAGAGTTTATGCACAAAAACATGTGAACAAAACACGGTTGATCCATTATAGGAGTCGGTAAAGCACGAACATACAACGTGTCTTTACGGAAGTAGCTTAGTGGTAACTGTACATGGATATAGGGGAGCTTTTGCAATGTTTGTCAACGTGGATTCATGTATGTTGACACTAACCCATACATCTCCCTCCCGACGACTAACCCTTGTGGTCACACATGCTTGTGGTAGCTGTAGTATTGAACGGTCAAAGTGGAACTATAGAAGGCGGTGTGACGGCTAGAAGAGCGTTGCAGACTAGGACGTTTCGGAGGGCGAGGGTACGTAGAGAACACGGAGTTAGGCGACAGATACCTTATTAAAAGAATATACACCATAGGTATGGTGGATTCAACCAACCACCATTTTGGTGAATTATGGTGCTGGAAATGTTGGTGGCACATGATGTATTGTGGAGCGGATGGTGAATGGCGCACTCCAGCCGGCGGGCAAAGCTGGAGCGAGAAACGCCGTCAGAACCACCGTGACGACCTGCCAGTAAAGAAATAATAAAAACATTTTTATAAAAAGCGATGCAGAAAGCACCCGTGAAGAAAGCTGTGACAGCGCGGATTCGAACCTGCCGCCTTCGCGTTCTCAACTGAGCACACTAACCACTGCGCAACGTCTCAGATGGCAACGACCAATGTTAAAAAAGTAGTCAACTCACAAACTCACCGTTTAACTTCAGTTCTGTTTGTCGCTTACCCTTGATGGACAGGATCTGCTCCATCTCGTAAAATTTTCACATTCAGTAAACACGAACAACTGCTGCCTGTAACGATTGCCACTGCGATAATGGCTTTATAAATAAAGCCTGAACAAGTATGTGTTCAGGCTTTATGCATGCTTATTCAATTTATACGCCTACACAATTGATTGCGATGTTTCTTTTTCGCAACGCACAGCGCAATCGTGCCAGCGCACCGCTGTTGCTCTGTCGTTAGGAGCAAGTACATAACTGCTAGCCAAAACGAAAGCTGTGGCCAGAAACATTATGATACAATATTGGTTCAGTCCTCGGAGGTTGGATTTGTTTGGGCACGCCATCCGCACGTCACCTCTTGGTTGGATGCCGGAGAGGGTGAAGAAGTGATTTGGCTAGCGAAGGCTACGCGAAGGAGCGGCAAGGGTTTCGAGCTCACCTCCTCTCATCCTCGTTGCGCGCCGCTTCAAAAACCTGTTTTCTCCGATCGTGATGAACCAATTTGAAAAATTTTTGTGGCAAAATGTTCCTCATCGGACACCTAACAACTTCCACTGTCTATAAAATTTGGTATGGGGCCTGGTGAGTGGCCCTTTCAGGCGTTTACAAAATTGCACTTCTACTATTGAAAGGTGCCAATGCGACGGACGACTAGAAACGAGACGGTGAAGCACCTAATCGTCAATCTCAAGGTCCTTCTGTGAGCGGACAGTGGTATATATGGAAAACGTATTTTTAACGCATACACAGCACAGCACTGTGCCGCGATGGATAGCGTGCGTAGCGGATCGTGTGTAGCGGATCCAGAGGTGATGGATTTAACTCCCGTTGGCAACCTTTTTGTCGATGTCCTCTCATATTGCGTATCTCTAGAAGTCATTTCTTTGACGGAATTACGTCACCGAAGTCTTGGTAGGGCCCAGCATAAAATCCTTTTGTGTTAAAAAGCGACTCTAGTGTTCTCGCTCTTCAGCTGTTTACAGCCACGATCTCCAGAGGCATACTTAGCCCAAAGGCGCAATGGCTGCAGGCACTGAATATCCACGTAAAATTTATTTTGAAACCTGCTTACAGCTGTAACGCTTAAATAATTAAAAAACATAGCCTGAAATAAAAAATAGTTTTTTGCTACATAAGTGCCCATCAGCATCACCATCAATTACAAAGTACGCTTTCGTTTCTTCTGTAGAAGCGTGCCATTAAAGGGACGTTCTCTGGGCCTGAGTTCATCCGCTCTAAATGACACTAAGTTCTCTATTGTGACCACAGTATTACCAAGTGAACAGATTATTTTACCTGAATTATAATATTGATTTTCCCACTGTCCGGTGATGCAACGTACTGCTGGATAAAATGTTATCTTTATATTGCCCAGGTGGACTACTTTACGTCGAGATATTATTATTGCTGTGGGAGTTTTGTTCTTTTCTTAGCTAATAAGGATACTGACGTAAATAAAAGCAGTAATATTGTACTTTGCCCGTACGTTGGAAATGATTCTGTAGTTGCTTTGCTGACCTCTGTATAAGTCAAAGCTCTCTTCATCCTATACAAGCTTTCAGATCAAAATTCAGGGGTAGCAAAGCAGCGTAGCTTGTGCGATATTCCTTGGGAATCAAAAAGGAAAGTGCGCGCGAGAATCCTTGTGGCTCAGTGTCCCAAATATTTTGGTCATGCTTTCATGGCGCTTTAAACACAAGAATCTTGTATATAAAAGCCTTTTACTTTTCTTGGTGGCAGCATTGAGAACCCAGATTGCAGTGTTAATTGCGTATGTAATTAGTTACGCTACCTTCCAACCACATGAGCAGGTTCTTTACCAGAAGTGAAATTGCTGCTAGATGTTGAGCATCTTCTCTTGTCGTAATCATGGCTACCGGACTATCTAACTGGTACAAAAGAAGTGCAATATTCCAGTGGAACTGCAACGGTTTGCAGAATAACAGCGGAGACTTTCGGAAATTCGTCGCTCAACACGGATTTTCGATTTTGTGTATTTCCGAAACAAGTGTATCCACTAACTTTCGCTTGTCCAATTATGTGGTGTACCAAGCAGAACGTCCTGCTGCAAAAAGCAGAGTGATGTTGTGTGTGAGACGTGATATTCCGTCGACACTTGTGGCTACTTCAAAAACAGATGCTCCGGAGTTTGTTAGATGCAAGGTGAAGTTTGGTAACGTTACTGTAACTGTAGTTAGTGTTTACGTGCACCCTCAAGCAAACGTTTCATACGCAGAGTTGGCTGCAGTGTGTATATCTGACCATGATCCCATAATTATATGTGGCGATTTTAACGCGCACCATGAATTGTGGGGTAGTGAGCGTCGTAGTGTAAGGAGATCTGCTATAGTAAAAATATGCGAAGATTATGGTTACACTACACTAAATGATGGTTCACCGACGTTTCTACGGGGGCCTAACTACTGCAGCGTACTAGACATCACTTTGTGCTCCTCTTAATTAGCGTCTGGAGCAGACTACACTGCAGACGCTGATACAAGAGGAAGTGACCACTTGCCAGTATTCATATATCAAGGCCAAGTTGAAGAAAACGAGAAATAACCGCACAACAAGAATTACAAATTGGGCAATCTTTCGAGAACTACGGAGACAAAATCTTGAACCTTGTTCTGACGCAGAAACGTATGCATCGAAGATAAAAAAATTTTCTAACAAAAGCAACTCGTGCAGTACCCACTCCAGATGGGTATTCGGGTGTTGACGCTGAGTATGAGAGGCTTCGGGCAATACATCGCCGATCTGAAAGAAGATATCGCAGGTCGGGTAATTTAGAAGATTTCAAGGTGGCACAGAAAGTACATTCTGCAATGCGTAACCAACTGCAGAAGTTTTCAACCAAAAGGTGGCAAGATTTATGTGGCTCACTTTCTCCATTTACCTCGGCGCCTCAACTGTGGAACATGGTACGCGCCCTCCGACAGCCAGTAGTCCACTCGAGACCACTACAGGCTCTAGCGCTGTCTCGAGGAGTTAGCGAACGGGTGATTGCCGAAGAATTTTGCGATCTTATACTGAGAAATGGAGAGACAGCCCAAACTAGCAAATATAAATCCTCAGAAGAATCAGCTTCGGCGGTTGTAACAAAGTTCTCTGCGATCAGTTCATCAGATTTGGATGACAGCTTCACACTAGAGGAGCTCCAACTTGTGCTGTCTTCAGTTAAACGAACAAGTTCACCAGGAACAGATGGAGTTACATACGCTGCTCTTGCTAATTTGTGCAAAAAAGGAAAATTACACCTGTTGGAAACTATAATAAAAGCTGGCAAGAAGAAAAAGTTCCGGAAAGTTGGAAGATATCAAAAGTAGTACCGTTGCTAAAGCCAGGGAAGAGTCCTATGCAGTTGGACTCGTTTAGGCCGATTAGTTTGACAAGTTGTTTTTCAAACGTGATGGATAAATGATCAACGAACGAATTTTATGGTGGCAAGACATAAAAAAACTACTACCACAAAGCATAGCCAGCTTCAGAAGAGGTAGATGCACAATGGACTGCATTCTGGATTGGGTCACAGATGTGGAAAACCAACGAACACAAGGAAACATCACTGTCGCTGTATTCCTTGATGTCCACCGAGCATACGACACAGTCAGTCAGGTTCACGTTCTGGAAGGTCTGGCGTTACAGGGATTCAAGGGCAAGATACTGCGTTGGAACGCGGACTTCCTGAAGCACCGGAAAATTTTTGTAGTCACGCAGGAGGGCCCAACGTCAGAACATGTCGTCAACCAAGGAGTGCCACAGGGCAGCGTGCTAAGCCCTACTCTCTTGAATGCAGTCATGGCGCAGCTCCCGTATAATCTTCCACCTAACATCAGATGTTCAGTATATGCTGATGTTATAAGTATATGGACGTCTGGTCCATCGTTTTTGGATATACAACAAACTCTACAAGAGGGATTGGATTATGTAGACCGTCTTTTAAAAAAAAGAGGTATGGCACTTAGTCTGGCTAAAACAGCCATACTTCCGTTTACATTAAAAAGACCTGGAAATTTCCAGATTATTCTGCAAAATCAGCCTATTCAAATGGTTAAAACTCATAAATTTTTGGGAGTAATTTTAGACCGGAGACTAACATGGTCGCCTCATGTCCAGTCCCTGGAACAAAAAGTGAATCAGGCCATTCGAATCCTCCGGCATCTCTGCGGGGCCAAATGGGGTGGTACTACAGAGTCGTTATTAGCCCTACATGTTGCCTGGATACGCCCCATCGTAACTTACTCACTGCCTCTGTTGCACGGACTCCCAGCCTCCACCGAAGGGAGACTTCACTTGTTATTGGCAAGGAGCTTGAGGGTATGTCTGGGTTTACCACGGTCAACTTCCAGTGATTTAGTGTATGCGGAGGCTCGAGAGCCACCTTTGTCAGTACTCCGAACTAAAGAAACATGTCGAAATTTATTTAGAATTTTCACGCAACATGAAAGTCATTTCTTATCTGGTGCATTAACAAAAAGGATGGCAACGAGACTACAGGATACTATATCATCATTTCAAGCAGTAGTACCAGAATTTAAACAATGGAAACCTTCAAAACCACCTTGGACGCTGCAACTTCTCAACGTTATCCGTGAAATAGACGGCATAGAGAAGAAATAAGACATGACACCTCTAGTAGCGGCACAGTTGGTACTTAATCAGCTTCATGTAATGCATAATGAAAAAACGAAGATATATACAGACGGTTCATGCACAGAAGAAACGTCAGCCTGTGCGGTCTTTATACCTGAAAATCAGAAAAAGAAGATGTACAAATTATTGCACAAATCTTCATCGACGACAGCAGAATTGGTGGCTATCTTTGAAGCAGTTAAGCTTATCTGCGAGAATCCTGAGCCACGAAAATGGGTGATATGCACTGATAGCAAACCTGCTCTTCAGCTAATCAGAAATGTGAGATCACCTTACAAAAATGGTGAAATAGCAGAATGTATCGCAGAAACTGTGGAATATGCCTCATCGCAGGGTCAAAACATCGTATTACAATGGATACCCAGCCACATTGGAATAAAGGGAAATGAAGATGCTGATAGTCTCGCGAAGAAAGCATTGAAGGAAGGACGGGATTGCGCAATTCCTATGTCTGGGGCGGATATTCGGCGTTTTATATCGCAAAGAGCTAACCATTGTTTGATGGAGAAGTGGTTTGAGAACCCTAAATCAAAGGAAACGGTACTTTATAATGTTGATCCACACAGAAAATTTTCCTTAGTGACAGACCTCCCACGACACCTAGGGACATTGATCCACCGACTTTGATTGGAAGTAGCATACACAAACAGCTTCCTGCACAAGATACATCGATCAAACTCACCGGAATGCCATTGTGGTCACACAGAAGAAAATGTTTGCCATATTCTTTTGGAGTGCGTTCAATACGTGAATGAAAGAGAAAAATTAAAGAACAAATCAGCAAGTTTGGACAGACATCCCCTCAGAATAAAGAAACTATTTGGACCATGGCCTGAGATGCATCTCCAGACAAAGGCAATAATCTTCCCTGACAGACTTTTTAGTGGAGACCAGACTGGACAAGCGCCTATGACTGACAGCCAGAGATGGGTATTATGTAAAGTGTGGTCATTTATATACTGACATTAGAGTAGTAAGGTGTGTGTGTAAGTAGTGTATGACTGTGTGAACTGCGTGAAGAAAACTGTGTATTGGCAGGATACTTGAACTGGTTTCAGTGTGCTATTATGTTTTTTTCTTTTTTTCTTTCTTTTCCGTATAGTTATTTTTGGGTACCGTTCTGTAATATTATTTTATTTTTTGCTGCAGAACTTTGTGATATGGAGTAGCCGAGGTAATAGGCACCTCAACCTCTCCGCAGCAAAACAGTTAAAACAGAACAGAACAACCACATGAGCCGACCAGCCGGGTATCTAAGTGTGAGTGGCGTCAAACACCCTCAGGCAGGTGTACACATATGCACGCGAGTAACAGCCTACGCTGACAAGGACAAGCAACGAGAAATAAAAATTGAAATAAATATATAAATAAATATATGTACCATATGAAAAAGCACACTGGCAACGCATCTGTGCGAACGGAGTCTTTAGTGATGTAAAACGTATATGCCTTTACTATAGGACACTAAGTAGCAAACATTTTTTTTTATAGTAATGTTTATGGAAATTGGCAGAAGATTGGCAGAATTTTTGCGAAATTTGTGCATGTCGTGTCTTTGAATAAAAAAAGACAGGCAGGAAAAATTCATAACAGTTACGCAGATATGTTGGCCTGAGATTGTGCGGACGGGCCTGCTGCTCTGCGCAAAATAAGAAAGCAAAATATTTTGTACAACGTGTCAAACAAGTAAGGTAAAGAAATTTCTTTTTGTTTTTAAGTGGTATGCAACTGCTCTTTTTACAGCCATCAAGATGAACCACTTTCTTGGGATGGACCTCCTTGTGGCAATAGCCATCGCTATCGGTAATACAACGTAAACTTGCCGTCAACTAGGTTCACTAGACGAATAACCTGTTTTTACCAATATCGTACAAAACGAAGGAAGTGAAATTACTTGTAAAATATCAAGCGTTAGGAAGGTGATGTCCGTGGGTTAAACTGATGACAGCGGTGATATACAACACTGCTAAGCACCGAGTCATACATATGAGTCTAGATGCGCACGACTGCACCTTTGTGAGACCACAAAAGCGCAGGAACAAATATAGTGGTTAATCAGTCAAGAAATACAAACGCTAAATCCCACTTCCAAATAGACAACATGACCTTTTTAGACGGGTAAATATGATCATGTTGCCTTAGGATGTGTGACAGTGCAGACCTTAGTGACCCTTTCAAGGTTTTCGATTTCAATCTTCTTGATAAACAGGAATAAAATGACACAATATTTCTTTTATGGCACGCAGATCACGCAGTCGTTGATGCACGATAAAACGTCCCTATACGGTATATAGCGAGCGATTACAACCATGAGCCGAAGGACAGGGTCTTTCATTTTGGGACGTGCGATGAACAAGTACGTCTCGACATTGAATAATTGGAATTTCGGTCGGTTGTTTTTATTATGGTTGGAGCCCTGCAGGCGACGGCGGTTTATTGGGCGGGGTGCATTTTACAGGTGCGCGCAAGTTTCGCTACAATATCTCCAGCTGCGGCGATAAGGCAGCTTTCCAGGAGTATGCAACTGTAGCATATTTGACCTACCCCAATTAGCCAGCCTTGTCACCTTCATTTTTCGTTTATACACGAGTCCGAACGATTTGTCTTTTGTTGAAAAGAAGCGTTGCGTCCCGGTCGTCGCGCTTTGTCCACGCGGCAACGTCCAACGTCACACACGGCCAATGTCGCACAAGCACTCGCGAAATGCACCGCGGACGACACAAAGCCCTCACGGGGAAGTCACAACTACACAGAAAATTTCTCTGGCAAATCTGGTGGCAGTCTGGCAACAAACACCCTGAAATCTGGTGACTTAGATGTTCAACGCCGAGCAGAACATTGCAGAGTCGTGAACAGAACTTGCCACTGGAGTAGAGAGTCCTGGCCACAATATAGAGACAACACGTGTGCATGTCCTTTGTTCTCAGTCTCGTTTGTCGCAATATGAGTATACGTAAATCTATCTGCCGATATTTTACTTCATGAAGCGTTGTATTTGCGAGCGGACACCTTTCTACCTTTTTCGCAGCTGTTATCATCATGGCCCCGCACGAAGCCGCCGCGGGTGCAGGAGGAGCATCCTCGCAAATCGGTGGTCTGGGAAAGAAGTGAAGTGCAGTGCATCCGGAAGACAGCCATTTGTCGTAGTTATGCAGAGAAAGCGGCGTTACGCCCAATAAAGCGCTGAAAGCAATGTATGGAAGGTCTGCGCAGTATTTCCTTCGTGCGGGAGCTTTGAAAGCTCTAGCTGGTGAAGAATTCTTTTGAACATTTCAGAGCAAGCGTGCGATGCAAAGTCCATAAGTGGGTCATTGTTAAAATACACTAGTGTCACGTGGCTGCACGGAAGGAAGGTGATGCCAATGGATACCTTGTGTACCAGCCTGTGAAACTGTGTCATTTAATTGCAGACTTGTTGCACCATGACCTCTGGACATGCTGAACGGTAACAGAAAATTATTACCACGATGACCTCTTACTTTTATGTTCAAAAGGGTAAACGTTAACAGGAAATTACTGTGGGTGATTTGCAGAGGATACAGAAAAAAAGGGACTACAAAGAAATGAGGCAAAAGAAGTTTCGCCACAGAGGTTTGGAAACCAAATACCATTACACCGAAGCGAATCTTTGATTTGATTTGTGGGGTTTAACGTCCCCAAACCACCATATTATAATGAGAGACGCCATAGTGGAGGGTTCCGGAAATTGTTACCACCTGGGGTTTTTTAACGTGCCCCGAAAACATAGTAGGCGGGCCTACACCGTTTCCGCCTCCATCGAATATGCAGCCACCACTGCCGGGATTTGATCCCGCCATCTGCGGGTCAGCAGCCCAGTACCTTAGCCACTAGACAAACGTGGCGGGGTGAAGCGAATGTTGGAGCCTCTAGGCTATGCACCAACTCTTCTTACAAGTAATTGTCATAAGAGACCACAACAATGGTTGATTCCAGCACCGAAGTTCTGTGCAAACACCATCGCCGATGTCTGTTACCACTATCGCACAAACTAAGGAAAAAAATATTCGGCAGATCCCACGTTTTTCGGAAATCGACGTTTTGCGCAGCATGCACAGTGAAGGTTACTGTGTTGCGATTTTTTTCTTGAGTGACACGCTACTAGATGACACTAAGTATAAGTACAAATGTTGCACGCACAGACAGATGTTGAAGAGTTGCAGTTGTTATTATTATTAGTTGTTTGCACTTGCGCAACGATGCCGATTGGAACATAGATATTAGCAACACCAGAAGCCGATATGAAGCGCTGATGCTAGCGAGGATCCTGGTCCTGGACACTGGTACATAACTCAACTTCAGCGCATGACAACTAACCACGATTGATGTTAACCGGACGTGACAGCTGTATTAAGCGAGTACATATGCAATGTTCATAAAATTGGATAGGAAGCCTAGGAAGCCCTGTAACCACTGTTGGCGTTTCACGAAGATTAGTATCGATTTGAAAAGCAGTTTCGAGACCTGGCGTATCTCAACATGGGGTAAAATGCTTCATTGCCATGCAGAATGCGTAAGTTCGATTCCAACAGGGACCCTGACATTTATTGTTTGCATTCGTCGGGACGACACTACCGATGTTGAGTACTGATGTCGAGTACTGTCTGGCGAGAACTTTTTGCGCCATACGGGATGGGATTGGGAGTTTATTCATGTCTTGACCACCACGTCTTATTCGTCAAACCATCTTACTTTTCCATGGTAATTTTGGTCCAGCCCAAGTCAAGGGGGTGGCCACGAGAGAGCCCAAACGTTAGCGGCTAGATAGATAGATAGAGAGAAATATAGATAGATAAATGAATAAATAGGTAGATAGATAGATACATAGATGGATAGATAGATAGATAGGTAGCTAGATAGATAGATACGCTCAAAGTCCTCGAAGTTCACTTAGAAATGCTTTGCAAATAATACTTACTAAATAAAATGTCCTAACACAATCATATCCGCAAGCCCTGTGCGGCAGCCGAATAATCTACCAATCTACCACCACGCTACCCCAGTGTGTGAAACTCCTGTGAAAACTCACCTTACATAAACTTAGCATGGTCCTGCAGAAGCATCAGTTCGTAAATTCGATTAAAATTGGATGTTAAAATAAGGCAATGGCTGGAAGACTGGCTTCCTACGAGTGATTTTTGGCTTATTCCATAATTTGTCGAAAGGAGAGAAAGCTAGTTTTAGAGAACACAGCAATTCGAGAACACAGTATGAGAACACTGCATCTACAACAGTCAGCCTCAGTTCCTTCCGAAGAGATGAAGCGAGGAAGAATTAATGGATAGTGAAGTTGAGAATCCGCAAGTCGGTCACATCACTGATGAAATTATTCAGCGTGCACTTTATGAGCCCTGACTACTTCTGCAGCAAAGTAGGTAAGAAAACGTGAATATCTGATTTTTTCTTGCGTCAAGCCCCAGTTTATGTTCGCCGCTACAGCTCGCCTCGTGAGAAACGCATATGTTTACATCTTGGGCTGCACGCAGTATGCCATCACTAGGTCGAGCTGCACAGTTGTCTTCTGAAAGACGCCGAGTGCAAAGACGTAACACTTTGTGAAACCGAGAGAAAGACGTAACTGTTTGTGAAAGACGCACTTGGCGTCTTGTGAAAGATGCACTCTGATACTCTCTGTGGGCGCCATATCGAATCATCCACTGCACCACCTATAGGCGACGAAACTTGCGAATACTTTAGTGCCGTGCAAGTTGGGCGCAGATACTTCACCAAGCTCGCGATGGACCTTACCACCAGCGTCTCCCTGGCGCCTTCATCACTACATCTTAACGGGGAAACAGCCTGACGCAGCTCGCTGCAGATGACGCGTATCACAACTGTGGTAACAAGCAGGAAGCCGGTGAAGCCCACAAAAAGTGGCGCTATGTCGCACACCGAGATTGAGAATCTTCCCTTGCTGGATTTTACTTGCGACAAAGAAACGCTACATGTTTACCCCAAACACTGGCGTCAGAGACGCTGTTGTAAGTGTAGTAGTTAAAACAATGACAATGTGAATCACTGGGTGCCGGGCTACGTACTTTCTCAGGTTTCACAGTACCTACGATGCATGTAGGGCAGAATTTTAGGGGCGAAGCTCGTTAGGTATGAGCCCTTTTTGCCGTCCGCCATGTTGACGATTACGCAGATGACAATGAGGAAAGAACAAGCGAGTTCCAGTCTACACATTCTGTTCCTGAATTCGCGGCCCAGCACGCGCAAGGGCCCACTATATACCTTTTGTTGACCATAGTATCCCCCTTACGTCATAACGGTGACGCTGATAACGGTAAAAAACAAGTGCGTTCCAGGCCCCTAATTCTCTTTTTGCCATATAGAAAAGCGATCGTGAAAGTGCTCTCACCCGCGAAAGGGCTTTGCGGAGTAGAACCTTATACAAAACAATAAAACAACAATGTATATAGGGTACACACGTGTTGTCACTCTCCCGCATGTTCATGTGGGCAATGAGCAGGTAAATCACGGGTACCAGGGGTGCTATAGACCCTCTACGTAGCGCACTTTACGCGAACTACTCCTTGACGCCATGTATTGGGCACCGGAGCCGACGACACCACCAGCGTTTCATGTAGATGGAGACACCGCTCAGTGCTTGAGGTACACGTAAGCAGGCGGGACTTTTTTGCGCACTCAGAAACGTGAATTCACAAAGAGTAATTTAAAAGAAATACGAATATCGTACTATCGCGACCTGCGTTCTGTCTCAAATAGCTCCACGAAGAAAATAAGGAAGGAATTTTTCTATTTTCCCGTTGAAACTACGGGTGCTATTGTGGAACTACTCTCACTGGCGGTAGGATGCATGTACGAAGCGCGAGCACACACCACCTGCACTATATATGGTGGCTTTGTTGCCAGAAACTTACGCAAAATTGAAACTGACGAAAAACATCACCATGAAGTGGCGTATTTATGAAAAAGGTCCATGGTGTACATTGTCGAATTCTGCCATGTGATTAGATTTCGCTATTCATCAATGCTGATTCGCCAAGTGAGCAACTACGACTTATCTGATTGGCTTAAAATGCCGCCATTATGAAATTGACAGCATTGCAGGACTAGACAGTGTGCAGAATAGCACCCTAATATAATCCTCCCGAGCCTCCCTCACTCATCATAATTGCATTCGAGGATATTTTACAACATCTATCGTTACATCTACTTTTCCGACTCGGCTAGGGTGCCCTGAAATGAAAAAAAAGAAAACACGTGATCTGTGCCCACTTGCACGCATTGATTGATGGGGGCCATAACAACTCGCCTACAAATAACACACTCGCCTTCAGGCAGTTCATGAAAAACAACCCAAGCCACAGGTTGCTCATCGCACAGCTAACCTTGATGATGGCCGCCCTGTCCTTTCAAGTGCGCAGCATATCTTAGTCGCACAATGTAGTACTTCGGCGCCGACTGCCGTGCATAGCCCCACTGAGCATGCTCGAGTCTCGTGCCGAAATAGGGAGGCAACCCCAAAACTGTCGCTCCATCGACCTATTTGTCACCAGGTAAGATTTCATTGATGATTGATATGTGTGGTTTAACGTCCCATAACCACCGTATGATTATGAGAGACGCCAAAGTAGAGGGCTTCGGAAACTTTAACCACCTGAGGTTATTTAGCGTGCACCCATATCTGTACCAGGCTGTAGGCCTGTGAGCACACAGGCCTACAGCAGTTACACCTCCGTAGAAAATGAAGCCATCACATACGAGATTCCATGCCGCCACCTGCGGGTCAGCAGCCGAGTACTTTAGTCAATAGACCACCGTGGTAGAGCACCTCGCAAGGCCATTGCAGGCAGCATCTGCCGGTAAAACGCTTACTGATCTGGCTACACAACCGTTTATGACCAGCCCTATATATAGGCACAGGATCGTGCTTTCGGAATTATGTCACGGGTGTCTTTACTAGGCTCTCGCTACCTTTTGCTTCACTGGAATAGATGAGACGGAAGCAATTGTACTGAGGCACAACCTAACAGCAGCGTCCCACCACTCGTTGAAGACAAGGCTTCGTTTACAATCAATAAATAAGAAAATATTAACGATGAAATTGCAATTAGGCACTCCCAAATGATAACCAATTACGCAACATTCATGCCTTA